GGATCTCAATTTTTAAGGCGGCTCTTACCGTCTCCAGGTGCAAAGGGGTTAATGAAGGAAAACCATCTTGCTATTTTTTCTTCCTTGGAACATATCTGGTACAGAGCTCTTTAAAAGCCACAGATAAACAATTCGGTGCATCTTTAAGAAGTTTTTTATAGTACTCAAAGGATACGGTGCTCCACTTGGGCAATCGTCCTGTCAGCATCAAACAGCAAGAGGGACAAGATTGCAGTCAGAAAAACAAAGGCCCCTCTCGTCTGTAGACAAAGCGATGTGCAAACAGATAGCAGTGATATTATTGTAGAAATACTTCTATTATTGTAAAAGTACTATATTTGGATCCAAATACAAAAACTGTATCAGCCTATTCCTTGGTTCTTTTTAGAACCACACATACTCATAAAAGAGATGCCCTTGCACGGTGCTACCGCAAACCTCTGCAACTAACAGCAACATCTAATAATGGCCAATTTCTCTTACATTGCTTTGAACTGATAAATTAATACCGAGCCCCGTGATCAAAGCCTTGAGTGACTGTGCACGGTTCGTATTACTGAGTTGCCGGATCTGCTTGACTGGGCTTGGGTTGTGCTCGATAGTAATTAAGTTCAATTATTTCGGATTTCCTTTACAAGTCTTTGGGAATAGAGATAATAACAAAAAAGGACTTCACAAACTGATCACAGTTTATATAACATCATTAATCTTCTCGGCATGACACAGCTACACCACAGCCATCATGTGTGAGGACACAAACATGGTGAAGGGTTCGTACACGCACTATGAAGGGTGAGAAAGGGCAAGTTCTTCCTCAGAACTGAAACGAGACTCACCCTTGAAGGTCCCCCTCCCCTTCCGGTGAAGAGGGCTGCGACTGCAGCAGACACCACCACATCACTGTGCTCAAATAGGAGAATAGTCCTAGGGAGGGTAGCGTGAAAACCAATCAGTAATCTTGTTCTGTACACAAGGGGCACCAGACCAAAGATGGTGAGCAAACTCGGCCTGTTTTCGTAACACTGCTTAA